ACGGAGTAATGGAAGTAAACAGGGTGGTGTACGAGGCTCTCTCCGACCGTTTTGCATGGGGCACCCTTTACCGTGGAACCACTGGTAGCACGGCAGTCGATAGGATTGGATGCCACATCGTACATTTTTTGGGGGTCCTGGAGCCCTGAGGGCGCGGATGTAAATGAGGGCCAAAATATAGATCCAGGAAAAGGGTTTGGGATGGTGGGATTAAGCCTCGCAGGATAGGAAAAAGAAACAGCTTAACATAGGGTTCATAAACTTGCAGGAGGGCAGGAACAGAATAAAGTGGGAAGAGATCGAGGAGCAATTAGAAAGCGAAAACTTTGCAGTGCATGGATTAGCACAAACACATCTGAGGGATATGGAAGAACCACCATACACAATACCGGGATTTTATGGAATGGGATGCAACCGGGCCAAAGGGGAACGCGGAGGAGGGGGATTAGGGGTGTTAGTGAAGGGTCAGGAATGGGAAAGGGAACGAGAGGGCTGTAAGGAACACATGTGGATCAAAGGCAATATGGGGGTTTGGACACAAGTCTGGGTTTTGTGTATGTAAAAACAGGGAATGGTGCAGGGGAGGGAGCTTCAAATGCATGATTAATGTGGGCTCGTTCTGAGCATGCGCTCTAGACAGCACCCACAAATATGGCGCCCAGTGAATACTCCTTATAAAAAGCGCCCTCGAAAATGGCGTCAAGTGCCAGCGTCCAGCGATGGGCTTTGCAGCCCTTCGCAAAGCAGTAAGGCAATTTCACTCATGCATTTGAAGCTCCACGTGAACGTCTAACTTCATCGTGTGCGATAGCAACAGACACTCGGCGTGAGCATCTGTTTCATTATCTGCTACGCGAACCACTGAAGCAGACGATGGAGCAGACGACGTCGCAGATGATGTAGCAGATGATGGTGCTCATCCGGGCGAATCCCGGACAAACGCTCGCCGGACAAAAGCTCATAGGACAGCAGCTCATCGGACAAAAGCTCACCCATTTTTAACAGACCCGGACAAAAGCTCGCCCATTTTTTAACAGACCCGGACAAACGCTCACCAGGAGAAAATTTCATGTTGGTCTTATAGAGAAACCAAGTTTAGAGAAAAAGGCGATGACCCTCCTTTTAGTGAATTCGAATGAGCGATCCATAGACCTATTGTAATGCACGCTAGAGGTTCAACTGGCGTTAGTGTCTATGCAACTTCAGAGAGGCAAATTGAAGCAGACAGCAACCAGTCTACTTTTGCGGTGTTCCTGCCCTTACAAAAAATTTATATCTGGCCAGATCTGAAGTTTTCAGATATGGCCATATCAAAAATTGGCCACATATAACCTGATATGGTATATCTGCCAGATATAGCCTCATAATGCCAGATATAGCCTGATACCCTTGGCCAAGTATGGAAATCCCACATCTGGCTAAGTAAGGATATTCCAGATCTGGCCAGGCATTTCAAAAGGACACAATCCTAAAATCAGCACTTCATATCTTTTTTATTGTCTACAATTCTCCCAAGTGCCCCGGCCCGCACTCGAGGAGTTATGGAAGCGGTGATCCTTGCAGCTGTTCAGAAAATTTTATTCCACAAAAATGCACGCTCGCTGCACGCAACAAACATATTCAACGGTCTCGCGGGGGACTGGTCTGTAGTATCAACTAGAGTTTAAGGCCCATTAAACAGTAAAAAGTTGATCATGACGCGACCCCTCACCACACAAAGGTAGCGGCACGACCACCGGCGGAGGAACTCTTGTTCGCCAAGGGAAAACCGCTGGTCGTCCAGGTAGGCGGTGAGTTCTTTTCGGATGTCCCACAACAGCGGCCACAACGCGCGGCGTCGTTGTCGCTGGGCCGTCGCGACACAACGGTTTCGCCAGAGCACCCACTCACATATTGCCACTAGTAGCAACGCAAAGGCGCCCCGCGGGCAACGGCCTTGTGTGACGTACACGTCCACCCCGAGACCTCGAAACGAGCGCTGTATTACGCGCCATAGGTCCCTCGCCGGTACACACTCTCTCACGACGTGCGCGTTTGTTTCTATTGCACCACAATTGACGCACTGTGCGTCCCGTACCACTCCCCAGCGGAAAAGCCTGTCTTTTGTTGGGAGGACACCCCAACCCTTTAACCATTCAAAATCGCGCACGTGGTCCGGCAGCGTGGACGACGTCAGTGCCAGCCACGGGTACGGCTGCACCGTGCCCGGCGGCGGCGGGGGTTGGTCTGCCACCACTAGGCGTTCAACAAGCCTAGACGCCGGGGCCTCGAGTATCTCCTCTCGTGACACGTGGACGCTGAGCTTGTCGAAGAGATCCGCGGTAGACCTGTAAAATGCAGGGGTCGTCTCCGCTCGGGGCCGAAGAGGGCTCGGAAGAGAGTCTCCCAAAAGACGGTTATTGGCGCCGAGGAAGTAGAGCGTGAGTGGCCGTGCTGGGTTGTCGTGGTCGTCAAGGATTGCCAGGGTTGTCTTCAGGGCCAGTAGGGGCGCTGCCAGCTCGATGCACGGAAAGCTCCACCCTCCTTCACAGCGGGGGAGGCATAAGCGGGAGCGCCTCACGAGTTCTGTTCGGTTGTTCCAGAAGAAGGTAAACAACGCCGAGCGCACTTGGAGGATGAAGGGGCGCGGCGGGAGGGCTACGCGGGCCACATGCCACAACCTTCCGCAGAAAACCGTCTGAACAAGGTACCGCCGCACAGCCATGGGGAAGTCGTAATGGCCAGCCTCAGCGGCCTTCTCTATGATCTCTTGACGCAGGTTGGACCAGGTCTCCGGAGCCACGCCGGAGGCGTCGTACGAGATTCCAAGAATGGTAACGGACTGGGCTCGCGGCAGAGATGGCGGGCACGTGGGGGGAGCCCCGATACAGAGAGATTTGCTTTTTTCAGGGTTCAACCGTGCGCCGGAGAGGCACGCGTACTCGTCGAAGAGTCGGAGGGCCTTCACCAGGCTGTCTTCGTCGCGCAGGTAGAGGGTCACGTCGTCCGCATACGCCGAGACGCGAAGCTCACCGGAACCAGGTAGAGCAAGTCCGCTTATGCTGGGGTGCCTGTCGACTCCAACCAGGAAGGGCTCTAAGCTGAGGACGAAAAGTACCGGGGACAGCGGGCACCCCTGCCGAACTCCTCGTGTTACCGGAAAGCGTGCCACTAAGGAGCCATTCAGGAACAAGTCACTCCGCAAGTCACTGTACAAGGCTGCGAACAGCTGAGCACTCTCGGAGGAGAAGCCAAACCCGTCGAGAACACCGAGCAGGTATTGGTGCTCGACGCGGTCGAACGCCTTGGCTTGGTCCAACGACACGAGAAGCCCGTTCGCCCGTCGGGAGCGTGTGAACTCCAGGATGTCGCGAGTGAGAGTCGTCAAAGTATGTATGCTGCGGCCCGACACCGAGCACGTCTGTCGGGGGTTTACCAGCTCCGGTAGGAAAGTTTGCAGACGCGAGGCTAGGGTCGCCGCGAGGAGCTTGTAGTCACTGTTTAACAACGTTATCGGGCGCCATGCCCCGGGGTCGGCATGGTCACCACCCTCCTTGGGGATGAGTACGATCCGTCCCAGCCGAAAGGATGGCGGTAGGAGGAGGTCTTCAAAGTAGACCCGCACGACAGCGGTAAAGAAGTTACCGAGAATGTGCCAGAACGTGCGGTAGAACTCCGCTGGGAGACCGTCCGGTCCTGGTGCGGAGCCGTTCTTCATCCGCTTCAAAACGTTCCACAGCTCGGTCACGGACGGGGGCCGCCGCAGGCCCGCGTCATCCTCAGCGGAGATCTTGGGGAGGCCGCTGAGGAGAGGGTGCGAGGACACCGAATAGCGATCAACCGGCGCGTCCGACTGGGCCAGCGATCGGAAGTGGGCTGCGAAGCGACCATTGTCAAGGTGGCCGGGCGACCCCGATGCGGAGGGCGTCTGCTGTCTTTCAAAGGCTTGTAGGCTTGTGCGATGGGTGTAGCGCAGTACCTCCGGGTGGACCGACGGGCTCCCCTGAGCCTGCAAGACAGTAGCCGCGGTGGAGTCCCACCGAAGGTATCGTTCGTAGCGTCTCTGCAGCTGGTCGAGGTACGCCCTCATGAAGGGGGTCAAGACGCCCCCTCGGCGGACGATACGGATTCGGAGGATAGTGTCTTGTAGAAGCCCTCGATGCCGTTCGCGGAGGTGCCGTCCCATCAGAGTGCTGAAGCTTTGCCATTGACCTTTTAGGCGGTCCCAAGACGCCGGCTCTGGGCGCACGCCCACTAGCGACTCCTTGACCAGGTTGCCTAGCGTGCGGCGCGTGGTCTCGTCGTGGAGGATCCTGGAATCCAGATGCCACGGACGTGGGGAGCGTGCGACGGCAGAGTCGAAGCAGAACTTGATAAGTAGCGGACGGTGATCGGAAATCTCTTCTGGGCACGACGGGAAGTCCACCGCAGTGCAGGTCTGTAGCGCGGCAGATAGCGTGCGAGGCAAGTACAGCCGGTCTATGCGACTTCCCGAAGCCCCTCTGTTCCACGTCGACTGGTGGGTGGATCCATGTAGTAAGGACCATCCGTCTACGAGGTCGAAGTGCCTCACAAGCCGCCGAAGTTCACGGGCGGACCAAGTTGAGCGACCCTGACCAGGACCCCGAACGTCGGCGTTAGAGTCCAGAACGCAATTGAAGTCGCCGACCAAAAAGCACGGGCCCGCGTCGAGTAGATGCACGTCCAGGCTGCGGAAGTACTCGTGCTGGAAGGTCGATACAGTTGGTGCGTAGACAGTGACGAGGCGAAATTTTCGTTCACCGAAGGAAAAGTCCAAACGAAGAGTCCTTCCCTCCGTATCAAAAAGATAAGTGGCATTGCGCAGCAGACTGCGATTGCAGACAACCACGCCCACGCCCGTCGCGCGGCGCGGCGCGTAAGAAAAAAAAGCAGTCACAGAAAACCGGGATTCGAAATCCGCAACGTCACGGAAGCGGGCAAAGTTGGTGTCTTGTAAGCACAGAAGATCGCAGTTCTGCATCCTCGCGAAATGCATCACTTCAGTTTGCTTCGCTGGGTTTCGAAAGCCCCGCACATTCAGGGATAATATGCGAAGTGTGGCCAGTATAAAGTAAAAAGGGGGATAGGGACGCCGGCGTGTTGATTAAAACGTGGAGCTGTCGGACGATGCTGGAGAGGGGTCCCGACGCGGGGGGAGGACTTTCGCGGTTTCTTGGGGCACGTGGCTCGTGGGCCCCCACTGTCAGTTGAGCGGGAACCGCTGCTCCTGAGGGGACGCTTGGAGTCCTCGTGCGTTAGTCGGTTCGAGTCGGATTCCGGTGTTTCAGTTGTGGTCGTATCCATACTGTCGGTCGGTGTCTCTGCGGAGCCACCTGGAGCGGGGTTCTCGTCGATGACGAGGTGGTCGCTGTCGCTGGACACCTCGCCATCACCCGACGCTTGGCTCCACGCTGCATAGGTGGTGTCGCCGACAATAACCGCGGCGGTTCGGGCAGAGTCCGTCGCTTCGGCTGAAGTCACCCCCGAGCCGGTCGGGCTTGGCTCAGGTGGGGCGGGTGGGGGCGGCGACGGAAGAGGCGGTGGTGCGGCCGCGGCTGCGGCGTCAGGTGGTGCCGGAGGGGCGACGGTGGAGACGGTTGGTACGGCCGGAGCTTCGGGGGCGATGGGACGGGTCGCGTTTCCTGGGTCCAGGGCCGGGAAATCGGTGGCGTAGTTTCCGGTGACCATGGAGGAGTAGCTTCTCTTGGCCGTGCAGTCCACAGTCGCGTGGGTTCCACCGCAGCGTCCACAGTTGGCAGTGCAGCCCTCGGTTGGGTGCCCGAAGACACCGCAGCGGTCGCAGTAGCCCGTCGTACACTGTGCCCGGACGTGGCCCTCCTGCCTGCAGCGTCGGCATACGCGCTTCAGGCCGCGGTAGTCAAAAGTAGCACGATGTCCGGCGACGCGCAGGAAGTTGGGCAGGGGGTTAGCCTCCTTCATCTCCATGCGGATGAAGCGGGTTCCTGTTTTCACAGTCGCCGTTCGGTGGTAGGTTGCGTAGGCGACGTCGATGACTTTGCCGTACGGGGCCAGGGCTTGGACGAGCTGGTCGTTGCGCGCAAACGTCGGCAGGAAGAGGCAAGTCACATTCGTCACCTGCGGACCCGTCGGCACGATGGGGACTGACTGGTTGGCGATGGAGACGCTGCCGGCCTCACGAAGCTTGAGGGCGGCTGCACGGGTGTTGACGACGACTTGGAAGTTTGTACCTCCTAGGTGCTGCGCCGAGAAAATTTCGGGCAGCCCCACAATGGCGGATATCCCATCAATGAGATCGTCCGCCGATGTGCCTACTGGCACGACAACGTCGAAAGCGTGCGCTTTCGGCGGGGGAGAAGATTCCGTCGACGCGGCCGCCATGGCGGTTTGCACCCTCGCCGGGGCGCTCGACGACACGTAGCCAGGGACCGCAGAACGCAGGTCCCGGACGAGATGCAGCCAGGAAACCAGGAACTCAGGAACAGCGACGAGATGTTTCAGCTGCCTAGTGATCGCTAATTTTGGACAATTCCATGGTTACACAGTATCGAGCGTAATTCGTAGTCACCCTGAACAAGCGTCCCATAGGCCTCAAGTACCTCTCATATCACTTTTAAATTTTCTCATCAATGGCAGCGCTTATGATACTGTGCATTCTGTACAACCTTCAGCCAGGCTGAGCCGCCGAAATCTCTTACCATATTATCATTCTCGTGATTGTTTTTTGAGCAGGAATTACTTCAAAGCCGAGAAATCACAACAAACAAAACCGGGATTTAGCTCGGATTCAGCGGAGTTGTTTATGACATTTTTAGCGTTTCTAACTTAATATCAGCGTCTTTGAAGTTGCACGAGATTGATATTAATGTAATAGATATGTCTGCAGCTCATCCAGGTTGAAGGTTGGACAGAATGCACAGTACTGACATTGGTGGGATATTTTAAAGTGGTATGGCAGGTACTTGGGTTCTGTCAGGCACGTGTTCAGGGTGACTCCAAAATACACTCAAATCTGTGTAACCATAGAATTGCTCGAAATTTTCGATCACTAGGCAGCTGAAGAAACACCGTCCCCATGATTCCTCGAGTACAGGCCGAGGCGCTTTGGGATTTAGCAAATTGTCTATTCGGGCGTAATATTAACACTTTGAAATAATTATGCTACATTGAAATCCTCGTGAAAACTAGCACAAATAATCTCAAACTTAAGCTTGTCAACGCTGAAGTTTGGGATTACTTGTGCGAATATTTAGCTCGCGAACAATGAGTCATTCAGAGTTTGCTAACAAAGAATTTTTTTTTACTTTTTTTCACTTTTTAACATATTGAAAACCGGCCGCCAGATAAGTCTGTATATACTCCAAATAAGTCTGTATATACGTCATATCAGGCTGTATATATGCCAGATAAGTCTGTATATACGCCGGATAAGTATGTATATACGCCATATCAGGCTTTATATGCGCCAGATAAGTCTGTATGTACGCCAGATAAGGCTGCATATAGGCCGTATATAATCATGTAATGTTTGATATGGAGAGATATGGCCCAGATATAAGATTTTCAAACGGGTGTGCATTATGGGAAAACGCGCGTGAATTTTGTCTCTTCGCCGAAAAATGACATGAATAACTTTTATTACCTCGGTTGTACCGGATAGTATGTACCTTCATTAATATTGCAAAAATGTAATTGCTTTAATTACAGCATTTTTCTTTACTATTGAACGATGTTACGCTTCGCTATATTTCAGGCCCAAACCTCTGTTTCATGGCAAATATGTAAAAACGAGCGACGCTTCTGAGCTAACTAACGATCGAAAGGAATGTAGAGTGTGTTCAAGGCTCGCTAGCGTTCAGGTGGCGCTTATGTATTGCTAATATGCCCGTCCTGTCGCTCTATGAATATGAATCCGTCGTGCATCCTTACGATGGGTTAAAGACCATTCGAATGTAAAAAATAAAGTTCGTGGGCTACGAAAGGTGTGTCTTTTTATTATTTCCTATGTCAGGCAGTTTTCATCGGGCACCTGTTCTCTGACTTCTCCCTATACTTGTAAAGAGTTGAAGCGTGCGGTTGATGATTTGAACCCAGAACGATGCATCTTCGCACATTATTACGAGCAGAAAGAATAATGCAGTACTTATTTATTGGAAATTGGACTATATTACGTGGCTTTCAATTTATTTTGATCGCCTGCATGCACGAGGAGTTACTTATCCAGTGTTGCTGCGTAGTTTTTGCCGTCTCTCTTGGTTTTCCACATGTCCTTCGTTCGTTTGACACGTATATCCCCCATGGCGGAAAGCGCCGACGCCGTGTTCGCGCTAACAGTGACCGACAGTGCACACAAACACATGTACGAAACGGTTTTAGCACCATTTTTCATGCCACGAATTTCAAATAAAAACGCCCTAACTGACCAATTATTTCGTCTGCGTGACTGAGAAATGTTCCAATGTGCCTAGTACGTACAAAATATTCGTGATATTAGAGAGTTTTAGTAGACCGTTTTCGCTTTCCCGCTCCGCTCTATGGAAAGCGGAGTCGCCATCGCGCATGCGCGACCCGTTCTGGGATTTGAGCGTGTAGCGTCAGCTCCGCTATCGTCGCCATTTTAAGAAGTACGTTCCACTCTCAGTAAAGGTTCACTAGGTGTTTTTCTGGAAAGGTGGGTGCTCGCTATTTGAAATCATGCTTGAGAGCGCGCTTGACCGTTATGAACCTCGCTGCACTAAGATGGCTGCGCAGACTTTGTTTGAAAAGGCGTCCCCCAGAAAACGTTTCACGGTGATCAAGAACCTCTGGCTGCTTCGAGAAATCGCTGGCCGCAATCCTTTCACGGCCCCTGAACGGTGGTAACAGGTGCTGCCTTGTCTAAGCCAGCGGGCTCGAATTTTCTATGCGAGATGACGACGACGACGTTGAGAGGATGACACACCGGGCGACGGCGGTGTCTCAATCTGATCCGTGGGCCTCGGTTCCTCGGAGGCGGCAGCTTCTACTTCGGCTGGACTACCTCCTTGGAGCATGATTCTTTGACCCCAGTGGACCCCAGTGAGCAATAGCGCCATTATGTTCCTGGTGCTCCTTCATGCACTGATCGAACGGCGTGCAAGATCCTCATAGCTCGCTGCTCACCCGCCCAACCCGCCTCCACGAAGTCTGGACTTCTGCGAAATGGACTGCCACCCTCCCCAATACCAACGACCCATGTCGTCGTCATCTTGCACGTATATACTCATCACATTACCATGTTCCCAAGACGCGACACCGCGGACGTCGGTGGTACGGGCTGCTACTTTCCGCGGTGCCGCGGCTCTTCAGAGCCAAAAATTAAAGGTTAAAGACCAAAGACTAAAGCAGCCGGCAAACGGACAAATATTTTGTTTGGTTACTTCAGGCAGCAAGACAGTGACAATTAGCGAAAGCGAGTGCTCTATTTATATCTCTACTATTTTTTCCCCAATGAAATGAGTCTTTTCTTCTTCGTATGCTTCGGTTTGTGATGAGTGCCTTGGTGTTCATGTACACAGCGCGACATTGTTAGCGGGAGCATTCAATATCCTGCTTTCATTTTTCACCTTAAATTCGAGGGGCTGACATTTGCCTATTGGTGTGGAATAAAGCGCTCGTTTGGGGCACTAATCTGAGCGACAAATTTTCAGCTTTTTCAATAGCTGTCAAAAAAATAAACTGCAAATAAATGCGATTTTTTTCGTGTTCGTATTAACAGTGGAGCGCAGTGTATGTATCTGCCTTGGGGGGTGACATGAAATCATTTTGCTTGACTATACACTTCTTTTTATTTCTTTTGTGCTTTTATGAAAGTGCGTTTCCCTAGTTTCTGCCTCACTTGTGCTACGGTCTTTTCTTGGAATAGAAGGCCACGCAACATAGGCTACTCTTACAATGCTGAATTCAACAGTAACACTGTAATTTGGTTAGATGTTATATTCACACGCACATCTGAGAAGTAAAATGGGAGTCGTTAGTAAACGTATTTTATTAAAATATTTCTAGATGCCTTTCAGCCCAGTTGGACAGGTATTTCGCTCAGTACAAAAGGTTGAATATGATTTTCTGTGATAATTTTATGCATTCTAATATTAAACAAACAAAAAAATGTCCATGGTCTTTGTAGGTTTCGTCCAGCCGTCAAATTATGCCGTCTGCGCGCATCACTGCCTGGTGCTTCACGACGAGCCCTCTCTTGTGGTCCTCTTCTGATTTTTTTGATGGACGGCATATGGGCATGCTGTGCGTTCAACAAAACCCCAACAGTTGTTCAGGGGTGTTCCCTTGTCCTTGACGGCCTAATAAAAAAGACAAAGAAAAACACTCTTACAACACGGCAGTATTTAAACACTACCAAAACATGTGATATGGGACTTGTTACTCCTCTAAGATAAAGCGTATTTCCATTGTAGGGTTGTAAAAAACTGGGTATCGTAAATTAATATATAGATATAGTTGTTCCTTAATTCTGCTAAGCTTTGAGGCCGTCAAACTGTGCATGCGAGGCCCGCTACGCCGGAATTCAAAACGAAACTTCTGAAAACTGTTCTAATCTACCACTATTGCTTAGAACTCCAGGGTTGTATTTGATATATTTTGCATTGTTTATGCCTGTCTGGTTTTCACCAGACAAAAAATTGACGTGGAATATTCTTTCGACCGTTATTGGTAACTCTTTTCAAAACACCACCGGGTAACATATTCGGCCGCCATATTTTGGGCATCGCTTTTAGTGCGAGGCTTGTGACTAGAACCGATTTCATATTCAGTAATGACGCAGCATTCGTGTCTAATACATTTAGACTCGCATCCGCAACAAAAAATGACGTAGCTCTCTTGCTCCCTAGACACTTGGCCAAAATAAGGCGACCTCGAAGACTAGCGGCACCATGGGTTGCACTTTTAAAAAGGCTGCATTCAAGTTTCTATTATTTTCTAAATCTACCAAGGAAATCCAATGCTAACATTTCCTGGGGAAAGTTAAACAATTCAAAAGTTGCGAGCGAGTGTGAATAAATAAAGCTGAGATGAATGGTTTCTTTGGTGCAGCTTGCGAGCGCTATGCTCGTGGTCAGCTTTCAGTGGCATTTTCGACAGGGGGGCACATTCACAGATATAATCGGGGTTCAAGCACGCGCACCCGTACATCTGACAGCATAGCCATAGGACCTCCACAAAAACGCGACGACTTTACCGACGCCGTGCTGGCTGCAAAGTGATACTCGTTCACTTCGTTTGATTATGCTGTTTTGTGTTACATAGAACTAAAATCGAACGGTTTACTTTTTACGCGCGGGGCGTACGCTTTATTTCTTGATTCAACCTCTTTCAAGCTGAGGTCACGGTCAAAAACATCGACGCGT